TTATTACTCAAGTCAGTCTCCCTGAGCATTCGAGCATTTGGGGACCAGAGTTTTTAAGGATAGTTTGGTGGGCGGGGGGAGGCAGCCAGTGAGTCAGGAGTGCTGATTGGTTGGGTTGGAGGTGAACTCATAGGGAGCTGAAGCTGTCCTCTTGTGCTGGGTCAGTTCCCTGGTGGGGGCCACAAGATCACATGAGCCAGTTTATCCATCTGGGTGGTGCCAGCTGATCCATCCAGTGCAGGGTCTGATCTCAGGTCTTACAATAGTGATGTTATCGCCAGAAGCAACTTGGGGAGCATCAGAATCTTGTAGCCTCCAGGGACATGACTCCTTAAACCAAAATTTCTAACCTGTTGACTAATTTATTAGTCCTATAAAGGCAGTCTCATCCCAGGCAAGAAGGGGGTTCGTTTTGGGAAAAGGCTGTTATATTTGTCTCAAACTATAAACTACGTTCCTCCCAAAGTTAGTTCAGCCTATGCCCGGGAATGGACAAAGACAGCTTGGAGGTCAGAAACAGGATGGAGCTGGCCAGGTCAGACCTCTGTCACGGTCTCAGTTACAATTCTGCAATGACAGTTTCAGGAGGCCCCTTTGGGGAAGTAGAAACGACCAGCATTGGGCGGGAGTTAGAAGGTTCTTACAACACAGAATGAACACAACGTTTGTGGTGCCTTGAACCCCAAAGAGCAAGTGTTGGCCACTCAGTAAGTAAGCCCTGGATGAAAGGTGGGGAGGGGGTTGAGGGAGTCCCATCCCAACTTTGGAAATCTAGGCAGGACCTGGCCCACCGTGGTATAAGGGGCTCTGGTATTGAGCCTCGGAAGGAAAGAACTATGATAGCTTTCTGACGTGATGGCCAAAGTCCTGTTCCATTTTCCTATTACCAGTCTTTCTGCGCAGTCTTTAGTTACCACTTCTCCAATGGAGAGAAAATGTAATAGACAAGCAAGTATCCCTTCATCCTGGAAGCCCAAAGGAATCCCTGCCATGCGTCAGGCACTGCAGCCAACGTGGGGGATAGCAGTGTCAGGATGGTGACACACACACAGCTCCTGAGTGACGGGGTGGGCTGGGAGGGGGTGGACTCTGCAGACAAGGCAGGGAAAGGGATTCCAGGGAGAGGGAGCAAGGAGAGGAGAAGGGGGCACCTAGTTCATCTCCAGATCCTCTTTGGGCAGCCTGGAGCACCGGTGGGGAGGGAGGACAGTCCCCTAAGCAACCAGACTGCTGGGGAAGGTGAGCTATTGGTTTCCTACAGGGGACAGACAGGATCCAATCTGAGTTTGAAAATCATTTTGCAGTAACAAGGCAGTCCATACAGCCCTGAAGAGACAAGCAGGTGGATCCTGGCACAGCCCCAGCAGGGGGAGGGAATAGGGGTACAGGATGCCCAGTGGCACTGCCAGGTTATTGGCATGGCTGATTAAAAAAACCTAGGGAGGGACAAGATCTGGGGCTGAGTGGAGAAAAAGAATACTCCCCTTGGACATCGAGATTCAACCTCTGCTCTGCAGAGGCACATGGTTAGCTGTCGGGGCCTGCTCCCCCACCGCCTTTCTTCCCACTGTCTTATCCAGTGCCCCAGGGGCCAGGACCCCCACCCACAGATGACTAATAGGACCCAGTGCGTCTCCCTGCTCTGATCCGTAAAGCCAATGGCCTCCCTGACATTTCCATCTGGAGGTCATGAAGCTTTCAAATTCGGCCTCCCCCACCCCCCACACACCCCTCTGACCTACTCTCTCCCAGTTCTACATTGCCGTTGGCCAGGCAAGCCTTGCTGACATCTGTCTGCCTTCTGCCCAAGTTTTTGTCTCACCTGGATCTCTAAGCTCCGCCCATTTCCCTCCGACACCTCTGAGTGCAGGTAACATCTGCTCCCACAGACTACTAGGGCCTCTGGACATACCAACCTGGTCACCAATCTGTTTTATCTTCCTTTCCTGGTCTCTGGCTGTGACAAATGAGGCAATGCAGCTTTGCTAACTCCAGAACTAAGCAAAACTGTTCCTTGATCCACAGCCCAGACCCTTCACTGAACTTAGGTGCTAAACTCTGTTAAGCCTGACCTTAAGGACCAGAGTGAGCAGAGGAAACGAGAGAGAAGACCTGGCACAAAGGGAACAGCCCCTATCCTTGGGGCTTGTTCAGTAGTGACTTTTCCCACTAGGGCCGGTTCCTTACACAGGGTAGAGGTCTGGGCAGGGAAGGGATTCAGGGTGCCCAGGTCAAGAGTTCCAGAGGCAGACTAGAACCCAGTTCTGCGCTGGGAAGAGCTGGAGACAGGTAGGTCTCAAGACTGACAAACCACACCCGACACACCAATGGGTAGAACGCTGGAGGGGGAAGACCCTCTGGCCAGGGGCCTGGGTGGACTTGGGAGTTAACAGAAGTTTCCATGGCAATCTGGGGCCCTGAGCCTATGAGCCAGGTTGGGGGCCAGTGAGGCCCTAGGGAGTAGAGGTCTGGGAAGATAGCTGAGGCTGGGTGGGGGAATGAGGCCTTAGGAAGTGGGTAACGTGGCCCCTTTGGGTATCCTGGAGAAAACCCGCTGCTCTGGCCCTCATTCAGGGAAGTCTTTGGTCTATTTTGGGGACTGAGAGAGCCAGGTGTGCTAGCATACACTGGAGTGGGCAGAGCAGGGGTCCCTTAGCAGAGACCTGCTGGTCATAAGATCCCGGAACCCTACACAGGGACATTTCTACCATCTCTGTACAGTGAAATCCCAATTGAATACTATCCCGACAGGGAGCTCACTACCCCACCAAAGTTAGGCCTGAAGTATCACCGGACATTGATTCCAATTCTGTTTCTCCTGGAGGAAAGGGAGGGAATCCGGGTGTAGCGTTCCTACTTACTCCAGTGGGGCCGGCAGCCTCTTCTCCCTTCTCAGGTGTGGACACCTTTGCACAAACATGGTGATGGAGTGAAGCCTCAGCCTATCATTCCCCCATCCCCCACCCCCTCCAGAAAGCACTAGCTCTCAGACCACACTGAGTTCATGGGGCTGGTGATCCCCTTTCACCCTCACCCACCCCACCCATCACCAGCAGTGGCACTTGGGTGAGGGGGGCTGGCTCTGAAATTCCCTCCCCAGTGGAGCAAGCTGACACTCTCACATCTAGCTTAGGTATTTCGGATGCAGAAGTACCTTTTTTATATCCAGAAAAGCACAAGGACGCTGACAGTGATGTTGGGTAGGTTATGTCCCTGCCTGCTCTGCCCTACCGGTGACAATTCAGGAGCTTCAGGGGTGAGTCAGGGCCAAGCTGCTCGCCAGTGACCAGGACAAGGCCTCTTTGTCCTAAAAACGGTTTGCATTTGCCTTCAGCTCACGCACACCACACCATGCCTGCTACATCTGTGACGCTAACCCAAGGCTGTCACCTGATGTCACTCTGCTGTTTGGTACACACACACACACACACACACACGCACACGCACACCTGGTCCTGGCCCACGAAGTCTCATCTAAACACACAAGATGCTGCCTTGACTGCGTGGAGCTTCTTCCTTCTAACAATTCTTTTCTAATTTTAGAAAATGGGACGATAAAAAACGGAAACAGAACAAAACCAGGGAACCATCTGCAAGACGTCATGTGTGAGCACCTGGTCCAGCATGTTCTGACCGTTCCTGATCTTTCCAGAGCCCTTACAAAGCCCTGTTCTCCTTGCAGGGTGCTGAGGGCCACGGACCTGCAGTGAGAACTTACGAAGACCCGCCACATACTTCGAGTTTCCAGAGCGGCTTTGCCTGTTCCTGTGGTCAGAACTATTGCCAGGATGACCTAGGGGTCACCGTGCTGAGCCGCTTCAGGAACCAACTCAAGCCCCCCTCTCTGGGAGGTGTTCCCAGACCCGCAGAATCACGCTGGGCTCTGCTCATCCGGATGTTCCGCTTCCCTCATAGAGACGAGTTTCAGCTTCCCCTGCTGCAGCACACCGAGGCCATTTATCCAAAATCTTTTGTTGTTGTTGTTGAGACAGGGTCTTGCTTTGTCACCCAGCTGGGAGTGCAACCACAGCTCCCCGCAGCCCTGACCTCCCAGGCTTGAGTGATCCTCCCACCTCAGCCTCCTGAGGCTGAGACTACAGGTATCACACCCTGCTGATGTTTAAACTTTTTTGTAGAGATAGGGTCTATGTTGCCCAGGCTGATCTTGAACTCCTGGCCTGAAGCTATCCTCCTGCCTTGGCCTCCCATAGTACTGGGATTATAGGTGTGAGCCACCCAGCCCGGCCAGGATTTTGGGTAAGTGGCGAGGCACAGGGAGGTGGCACTGGCCACCAGCAGACGCACGTAGGAGCACCTGTCTACAGCTCTGGGGTGGTGGCAGCAGCTCTTCACGCCCACCCCAAGACCCACTCCACTTGGCACTGGCTGGTGGTCATGCTTCCATTAGAAGAACCTTGGGCCATGCTGCAAAGGGACAACAGGATAAATCAAGGGACCCAGGCAGGTGCTCCCTAGAGAACAGGGTGGTGGGTCAGGGGCTTGACCCCACTTAAGCTCTTCCTCAGGGATGAGATTGGTTGAGTGCTCAGGAAGCCAATACCTGGCTTGTTATGGGATGAAGCTCTCGGCCAGAGGGGACCCAAGTGTGAGCTGGTGAGAGGCCCCATCTCCAGGTTGAAAGCGTTGCTTGGGCGCTGGGGAGCACTAATGAACAAACGTGTGGTTAGGGTGAGCCTGCAGGCACCCTGGCTCAAAGGGAGAGGCACAGAGTGCAGAGTACTTTTTCAAGGTGGAGCTGGGGGAAGGACCCAGACCAGGGAAAGCTCAGAAACAGGACTGCACCCAAACAGCCTGGCGGCCCAGGCCACCTCTGCCGCGTTCACAATGACGGCTTTGCCTGCGAGGGCCTGCAGGTGGTGGTCATCACTCCCCCTGTCCAACGAGGAGGGGGCTGCTTCCCAGGCGGGTTAGGAGGAGCCTGGCCCAGCCCCTTCCCCTCAGGGGAGAAGGCAGAACAGACAAGACAGACACAGCAGACGTGCCCACGGATATAACTTAGTTTATGGGTCAAGCCAATGCAATGCAAAGTTGTTTCTGTTCCTTTTTTTTTTTTTTTTTTAACCAAAATAAATAAATCAGATCTGTCCCTGTGAAGGTCAGAGTGATGAATGAGGGGCAGCCGGCCCCTTGGCCATGGTCTGCCCCTCATCCCCAGCCCCTCCTCTCCCTCTTCTGACCTGCTTTGGCACAGCAAAGAAAATGATGCATCAGAAAGTCTCCATTGGGTTAAAGGAGAAAGAAAGAATGGTTGGGGTGGGGAAAGAGGCCAAGGGAGGAGGTGGGTGGAGGTGGAGGGTTAACAGGACCAAGACAGACCAGCCAGTGCCCCGGTGGTGGCAACCTGAGCCGGGTTTCCTAGCTATGCACAGACTCTGTGGGCTCCAGGTGCTGCCTGGGCCCAGGCGGGGTGGGTGGGACATGCTTGGGCCCCACACACAGACTGGAACCCTCGAAGGAACAGCAGACAATGGACACTGCAGAGACTGAAGCTGCCCTTTCTGTGCCAGGTCAGGCCAAGGCTCTCTCCTGCCAGCTGCCCCGGGTCGTCCTCCGTTCACCCCATAGCTGGGGCCCACCCTAGAAACCTCTGCCAGCCATGGCTAGATCTGACTCCAGGATCCTCTATAGATTCTAAGGCTCAGGCTCAAGATGAAGCTATCCTAGTCTCAAATACAGGAGCCTGTGCCTTGCTGGGTGACGGGGTTGCCAGCACACTAGGAAGCCACACAAGGCCCAGTCCCTACCCTAGTAGGTGACACTGGTGGGGAGGGTTGTGGCCAGAGCTGACCCCTCCCCAAGGACATCCCTCAGGGGCTACCTTTCCTCCTCCTGCTCCCCCTGGCCTCCTGGAAGTCAGCAGAGCCTGGGCAGTGTGTGGCCTGTGGGGCAGCCAAGCACTGGAGGGGGACGACAGCCTAACTCCTATGAGAGCAGAGGGAGGGGTGGCGGCACAGCGAGGAAGGCGGTGGTGTGGGCAGCGCTGAGGCACTATTCTTTAGTTGAGAAGCAAGGGGCAGTCATGGGTGTGGAGAGGGCAGTGGCCCAAGCAACCCTAGGCAGCATCTATGAGAAGTTCTTAAAGACGTCCAGGTCGAAGGCCGTGTCCAGGAGGCGCTGCAGCTCCGTCAGGTGGGTCTTCTTGTTGCCAGTGGCTGGAGCAGCTGCTGGGTCCCGGCCGGCATACCTGAGAGATGGAGGGATGGGGCAGTGAGGGCAGCGGCCACTGAGTGGGCCCAGCCCATCCCTCTGCTGCATGTGCCTGGCTAACTGCCTACTGGCCTGAGCGGAGGGTCCCACAGCCTTCCTGGCGGGGACTGAGCCTTACCAGACGGGCTTGGCGCGGCTGATGGTGGTCCGAAGTCTTGGCTTCACGTAGTCATAGTAGCCTTGGTTCTTGTGCTCCTCCTGGCACCAGGCCAGCTCAGCGTTGGGGTACTTCTGCACCTCCTTCAGCAGGAGGTCAAAGGGGAATGGCGACAGCTAGGAGACAGCAGGGGTCAGATCAAAAAGGGGAAACTCAGAGGGCAGGCATGATCCAGCAAAGGGAAACTGGTGTTCCGAGCAGGGAAGGTCAGGAACCTGAGGGCCACACCCCAGGCAAGGCTATTCTGTGAAGGCACCAGAGCCCTGACCCCTACATGGGAGACACCCTGATGGCACCACCCGCCCTCACCTGCTCGATCCTTGTGATGGCCACCTGCCCCACCATGTCGCGTGCTTTGCGCTCTCGGGTGAGGTCATAGTACACTTTGCCGGTGCAGAAAAGAAGCCTTTTGACATTCTCTGGGTTCTGAGCTGCAGGGCCATCTTCTGGGATCACCCGCTGGAAGTGGGTTCCTACAAGAGAGTTCCCATGGCTGGGCTGGTTCTCTCAGGGATGTGGCTGAGAGCTCTCCTGGGCCTGATCTCACTTCTGCTGTGTGAGCAGAGGGCTCCTGGAGCCAGGGCTCCATGGACTGCTGCCAGGACACACAGCTTTCAAGGGTTAGAGATGCTTCCCCTTCACCAGCCTCTGATGCCCTGTATTTGCTCAGACCAGGCGCACTTTGAAAAGCACATGATATGTAACAAATACACAGCAGACATGGCCAGCTCTGGCTATCAAGTAACACCAGGCTAGCCTTCAGAACAGCTTCGCTCAGACTTCAGGGACAAGAGTATATTAAAACATCCCAGCTGGGTGCAGTGGCTGATGTCTACAATCCTACACTTTGGGAAGCTGAGGCTGGCAGATTGCCTGAGTTTAGAAGTTCGAGACCAGCCTGGGCAACATGGTGAAACCCCGCCTCTACTAAAAAAATACAAAAAATTAGCCTGGCGTGGCGGCGTGTGCCTGTGGTCCCAGCTACTCGGGAGGCTGAGGTGGAAGAATCGGTTGGGTCCAGGAGGCAGAGGTTGCAGTGAGCCAAGATTATGCACTACAGCTTAGGCAACAGAGCAAGACTCCATCTCCAAAAAAAAAAAGAAAAAAAAAAATCCCATGTTTATTCCATTTCTGCTGCTCAGGATTTTACAAATATAAAAAACTTTCAACACAATCAGAGAAAATATTCAGATAGAGAACAGTGTGTTGGCCAGGTGTGGTGGCTCAGGCCACCACAGCACTTTGGGAGGCTGAGGCAGGAGGATCCCTTGAGCTCAGGAGTTTGGGACCAGCCTGGGCAACATGGTGATATTCCCTCCCTACAAAAGTACAAAAATTAGCCAGGCACGGTGGTGCACACCTTGTGTTCCCAGCTACTTGGGAGGCTTTGGTGGGAGAATCACTCTAGCCTGGGAGGCAGAGGTTACAGTGATCCGTGATCACTCCTCTGCACTCCAACCTGGGTGACAGGGTGAGAATCCATCTCAAAAAAGAAAAAAAAAAAAAAAAGTAGGTTGAATGGTACAAACACACAGAAGGAATAAATTCAACGTCTGATAAAGGAGTAAGGTTAACAAACATGTATTGTACTCGAGTGATGGACACCCTAATACCCTGACCTAAGCACTGCATATCATATACACGTAACCAAAACCAGTTGTGTTTCTATATACGAACAATGAACAATAAGAAAAGGAAATTAGGCCAACAATTCCATTTATGATACAAAAAAATCAAAGGCTGGGCACAGTGGCTCAAACAGGTAATCCCAGTACTCTGGGAGGCTGAAGTAGGAGGATCACTTGAGCCCAGGAATTGAGGCTGCAGTGAGCTATGAATGCATCACTGCACTCCAGCCTGGGTGACAGAGTGAGACTCTGTCTCAAAAAAACACAAAAAATAAAAATCACAACAAAAAAATTAGCTCAAAGTGGGTCAAAGATCTAAACATAAGAGCAAAAACTATAAAACTCAGAAGAAAACATGGGGCAAAAGTTTCGCAACACTGAATTGGTAATGATTTCTTAGATATGACACCAAAGTCACAGGCACCTGAAGAAAAAATAGACAAATCTGACTCCATGAAAATTAAAAACTTTTGTACATCAGAAGATACTAACAACAGGCCAGGTGTGGTGGCTCATGCCTGTAATCCCAGCACTTTGGGAGGCCGAGGTGGGCAGATCACCTGAGGTCAGGAGTTTAAGACCAGCCTGGCCAACATGGTGGAACCCTGTCTATACTAAAAATACAAAAATTAGCTAGGCATGGTGGTGTGCGCCTGTAATCCCAGTTACTCATGAGGCTAAGGCAAGAGAATCACTTGAACCCAGGAGGCAGAGGTTGCAGTGAGCTGAGATTGCGCCAATGCACTCCAGCCTGGGTAACAGAGTAAGACTTCACCTCGATGAAAAAAAAACAAACCCAAACCCAAACCCAAAACCAAAGATACTAACAACATAATAAAAGAGCAACCATAGAATGGGAGAAAATATTTGCAAATTATATTTCTGATAAGGAATTAATATCTAGAATATACAGAGAACTCTTAAGAGTCAAAAACAAGCAACCAGATTAAAAAATGGGCAAATGATTTGAATAGGCTGGGTGCCGTGGCTCATGCCTGTAATCTGAATACTTTGAGGCCAAAGTAGGATTCCTTGAGCCCAGGAGTTCAAGACTAGCTTGGGCAACACAGTGAGACCCTGTCTCTTAAAAAAAAAAAAAAGGATTTTAATAGACAGTTCTCCAAGGAAGACATACAAATGGCCAATAAGCATATGAAAAGATGCTCAACATTACTTAATCATTAGACAAATGTAAATCAAAACCCAATGATGAAATATCATCTCACACCCATTAAGATGGCTACTATGAAAAAAACCAGAAAGTAGTAGGTGCTGATGAGGATGTAGAGATGGTGGGATCCTCATATACTGTTGGTGGGATGTAAAATGCAGCCACTGTGGAAAGTTTGGCAGTTCCTCAAAAAACTAAAAATAGAATTACCATATGGTCCAGCAATTCCACTTGAGTACATATTCAAAATTAACTGAAAGCAGGGACTCAAAGAAATATTTGTACACCGATGTTCATAGCAGCTCCTCTAATCACAATATCTGAAACATGGAAGCAACCCAAGCATCCATCGACAGATGAATGGATGAGTGAAATGTGGAAATGTGGCATACACAGATAATGGAATATTTT